GTGCCGCCAGGTGCGCCAGGGGCGAGTTCGCCTTAGGCTCGCTAGTGGCGGGTTCGCCCTGGGTCGCGCCCTCATTTGATGCGGGTTTGGCGCCGATTTCTTGCCCGCGGGTGTAGTCGCAACTCTCGCCGTCGACGTGAAATCGCGTGGCTTAAACGTGATAAATAACTAAAAACAACTTATCAGAAATTAGTGCCTACTATGCGAGGTTCTAGTGTCAACAGAAATCGAGAGAGAAATGTCACCTGAGTAGTTGGACGAGAGTGGAGTGGAACTGCAAGTTCCAAATGAAGACGTGGGTGGAGGCCAAATGGCCTCCAACCCTCGTTATGTACTCGGCGAATTGTAATTCGCCGTTGCCTTGCTGCGATACAGACAGCTGCGCTTTCACAATACGCATTTTTAGAAAGTGTTACACACTTTCAAAAAAATTCATAATTACTGCACACACAATCACATTTCTCCTACACCCTCTCCACCACCACCACTCCTACCTAAGGTGTTGCTGCGCTTTTAAAAAGGGGGCTGTTTGAAGATAGGTACACCAATATTAATGTATATGTATCATTGTTACGGTAAGTGCTGATTGTCATTACACTATGTTTTTGTCCTCTTCATGAAAGCTTAGAGCATTTATGACATCCAGCAGGGTTGGGAGGGCGTCAGCCACAGTGATGTGCGGCAAATTGGTGAAAACAGGGGAACTGTAATCAATGGAGGGCAGCATCCATTTTGATAGGGATGCAATAAAATCTTCGGCTCGCGGGGTTAGAATGCCCTCCCAGTCAACCTGGCCAATGCAGGTGGGAAGAGATGGAAGCAGGGGGGGGGGGGGGGGGTGCCAGGGGGTTTTGAGGGGGACAGGGGAGGACGGGAGGGGGAGAAGAGGGGGGAGTGAGAGGGGCTGAAGGGGGTTTTGCAGGAATACCGGTGCCGTGCACATGCACAACGCGTGAACTTCAGAGAGAAAGATGCAGAAACAGCCGCTGAAATGATTATGACAGGTACGAGCGCCAGACCTGAGCTCCCTTGGGGATGTCTGCTGTGACATGCATGTCTGCCGCAGCGAAGAATCTAGTTCTGAGGCGCATGCAAAATAGAGAGAGGGCCTGACCTGAGCTCCCTTGGGGATGTCCGCTGTGACATGCATGTCTGCTGCAGCGAAGAGCCCCAGCATGGACACATAGCCCACCATGGCCGTTCCTCGCGCCATGGGCATGAAGTTGTACCTGCACGCGTGGAGGGGCGGGTGGGATGGGATGAGGCGGGGATGAGGGGATGAGGGATGGGACGGATGACTTTAAAGGCGCCTCAAGAGTGGCTGCAAGGGATAGTCCCAGCATGGACACATAGCCCACCATGGCCGTCCCTCGCGCCATGGGCATGAAGTTGCACCTGCACGAATGCACATGGGGTTGGTGCATACGGCATGCCGTGGCATGGTGCGTAGTGAGTGGCAGCATCGGCACAAGGGCGGAAAGATGGGGAAGGGGAAAGATGGGGAGGAGGAGTGACGAGCATGACGAGATGGCTTTCACTAGGAGAGATAACAGCAAACCAATATGGAAGCCGTATTCTCACGATGAGCAATCGTGCAGCTCTCTATCAGACCAGTCAATCACCAACAATGAGAGAGGCAAGCACAGCTAATGATAGAAAACACAGCAGTAAAGAATGAATACCATGAGTGATCGGACTGACCAATAGAAGCCCATGCGAAGTATGGCATGGTGGATTCGCCTTCTATACGCGTTGACATCCGATGCTTTCAGGATATCGTCGAGATACCCCTCACATAGATCCTGCACACACCATGGCACGCACACACACACGCACGCACGCACGCACGCACGCACGCACGCACGCACACACACACGCACGCACGCACGCACACACGCACGCACGCACACACGCACGCACACACGCACGCACGCACGCACACACACACGCACGCACACACACACACGCACGCACGCACACACACACACACACGCACGCACACACAAGCACGCATGCACATACACATGGAGTGAGTTCTGAGATGGCTCACAGAGTAAGAGACCAGGATGGGCATGGATTTAAGATGGAGTGCAGTGAGTTGGTTCCAGATGCAATTGGGGATTTCAATCTTTTTGCAAGGAGGTGAGAGGACAGCAACGGGGGATTGCAGCAGAACGACAAGAGGTGAGGTTGAAGAGTGTGCGGAGGTGAGCACCTTCCAAGCAGTTTCCATCTCGAAATCGTACTCGTCCCAGCGGGTGGGAACGACAGGAGTCTTGATGGAAAACTCGTAGTAGGTGGGGCTGCCAGCGGGAGGACAGAGGGGAGCAGGGGCGTTGGAGGTTTGCTCTTATTTTATTCTGTAGAACAATCAGCGGGTGGGAACGACAGGAGTCTTGATGGAAAAATCATAGTAGGTGGGGCTGATAGAGTTAGGGGGCAGGGGAGCAGGGGAGGTGGGAGGGTGGGAGCAAAGGGAAGGGGTGAGGTGGAAGGTGTGAGGGGTTAAGGGAAGGAGGGGATTTGGAGGAAAGTGGGGAGTGGGGAATGAGGGAAGCGGGATGGATGGTGTGGGGTGGGGATGGATGAAGGGTGTGTTGGGTTAGGTGAATTGACATGAGCAGGTGGTTGAAGGGATTTTGATTGTTAAGACGGAAAGATGATTATATAGATGCAAGCACATGTGTGGGCATGAACGTGTGCATGTCCATGCGCACGCTCATGTACTCACTCACGAATGCACATAGTGCACTGGCAAGGAAAGAGGCGAAAAGAAAGGACATCACATGCAGTGCTGGAATAGATAGGGCAACAGAAGCAGGAGAGATGGGTGCAAAGTGGTGACAATGGTAGGAATGAAAGGAATAATGGGGATAGGGTAGTGGATGTGAGGAACGTAGGGCTTGAAGACAGGGGTCAATGGTAACATACGTCTTGACCATGGTGAGTCGAGTGCCGTTCATCACAACCCTGCCAGTTGTAGCCGTGGCAATGCCATGAGGCCATGGGGACAAGCAAGACAATGGAGTGGAGCAAGATCAGGCAGGCACGAGGGACAGGGGCGAGGAACATAACAGATAAGAGCAGGGGGTTAGGGGTTGGGTGGACGTGGGGAAGAGTGGGGGAGAGGGAGGGGGGGAAATTGGGGCAGAGGCAGGGGGGATGGAGGGGGAGGACTTGTGGGATGAGGAGGTGTGGGAGGATAAGGTGCATGTGCGGTGTAAGGTGGCAGGAAGCAGAGGAGGCAGCACTGCAGTTAGTTCCAAGCAACAAATAAATAACGAGTAAAGCGGAGAAATGATTGATCTAGCGCACCACAAGCTGTGATAGCAATGCACCTCATTTCCCCAGGCTTGCCACTAAGCCTGCGTGAGCAGAGCTATAGCATTGATTTTGAGGTGACTTCTGAGTTGACTAGAAACGAGGTGACTTTTGAGTCAACTCGAAATCACATTACCCCAGGCTTGGCACTCGGCCTGACTTTGAGCCGTGCTATAGCATTGATTTTGCTCACCCTGGTCGAGCGGTGCTGTAGCAGGGCGTGACCACCCAGTAGTCCTGCCCTATTGCCTTCCACGCCTCCTCTGCTGTCTCTGCATGCTCCACCTTTCAGCCCGGCACGGCAGGGAGAAAAGCAACATGTGTGGTTTTCACGGCGTCTAAACAGAAGCAGCACTTGAAGGAGGAGAGGAAAGTGCGACGAGGGAGATTTGAAGGATGGAAGTTTGAGCGAGTGCAAAAGCTGCTTGAACTGCACACACATGACAGCGGCAGTGTGGGAGGAAGGGGAGAGCTAGATATGCTAGAAGCGCAGGATGAATGGAGATAAGCGTGTGAGCATTTCAGGTTTCAGGCTCCGAAACATCAGGACTAGCAAAGGCGTGAGGACACGGAACGGACCTCTGGGGCACCTCAAAAATCTTAAGAGGCGCCTCAAAAGACCAGCAAAGGAGTGAGGACACGGAACGGAACGGGAAATCGTAGATGCACTGTTGAAAACCGTTTAACCCCACTTGCTGCCCTTGTTTTAGCAAGCTTGAGTGAGGTGAAACAAGGTGGAGTGAGGTGGAGCAAGGTGGACGGACCTGGTGCACGGCAGTATGGGAGAGAGGCACGGACTGCTCGTAGCCGTTCCACACCATGTGCCTGTGCCGCACCTGCTCCTTCATTATCGCAAACGCCCTGCTTGCTTGCTCTCAGAGGGTCACACGTGCCAGGGGGGTTTGCGTTGCACACAGCGCAGCGCAGCGCAGCAGCGTATTGTGTTGCGTTTGCGTTGCATTGTGCAGCGTGCGGGTGCAGAGCGGGGCACACAGGCAGAGGGGAACACGCACGCAGAGGGCACACAACAACAAGGAGGAGAAGCAGCAAGGTTGTTGCAAGACACTCTGAGCATTCAAGACCCTCGTGCCAATGCGACCCAGGTGAAATTATGTAAGCTCCCAGTGTGTATACCAGTGCAATTAGAGACATGCCCCCATTTGCACCCACAGAACAGTTAAAGCAAAGGGGCCAAGCGTGCCAAGTGAAAGGGGGCGTAAGGACGAGAGAAGGCAAAGGGAAGACAGGCGTGGCGTGGGGGCAAGTGGAGGAGCAGAGGCTTAAGAGGCGGAGGGAGAACCTGTCGAAAGCAAAGTAGTATTTGGTGCTCTTAAGCTGGCTGACCAGCATGGCCGTGACAGATCCAAAGCCATCCTCAAACTCCTTGCGCCTGGTGGTGGTGTGGTGGTTGTCGAGAAAAACAAGATTCACACCCATGGGGCGGAAATGGGAGGAGGGTGGGGAAGAGGTGGAGGTGAGACGAGGGAGGGTGAATGTTGAAGATTGAAGAAAAAGATCGCACATGCTCTCATGTCCGGTGGTTGCATCTTTGTGTGGCTATGAGAGTGTGCAACTGTGCGGTTGTGAGTTGGCTGGTGTGTCCATCCAAATTCTCACGCCTCCAAATCCCCATGTGTCAAATCATCATGTATGATGTGCCCACTCCCTTGCACACTCATTCATACGTACGTGAGCTTGTCGATCCACACAACTGGTTCAATGGGTTCCCCCAGCTGCCTCCACCGCACCACGCGGTCATAGATGTCTCGCCACCGTCGCACATACCCTGCTGCTCCACCCCTCCTCCCCCCTGCCCTGCTTTGCTCCTGCTCCTGCTCTGGCCCCTCCTGCTGTTTCTCCTGCTTCTGCTGCCACTGCTGCTGCCGCTGCTGCCGCCTCTTCCCCCTCTGTCGCCCCCTACCGCTCCCCACCTCCTCACCACCACCTTCACCACTTCCCCCTTCTCCCACCGTTGCTGCCCTTCCCTCCCCATCCCTCTCCTGCCTCATTCTCTTCCATGTCTCCCTCACCATATCCCTAACATCCAGGATCGCAAGCCCTGCCATGCGGTGCTGCCTGCGGTTCCTCAGAAACCCATTACACCAATACTGTGTCCTCTTCCCTAGCTCATCCGCCGCCCCTAGCACCCTCTCCGAGAACCTCACGTTGTGCCCGCCGGTCTCCGGTGCTGCGAGCTTGAGTGCGGTGCGGAGCGGCTGGAGCTGGTACCCGGGGAAGAGGGGCGCGTAGGCGATGCGCTTGGCCCAGAGCTCCTTGAACGTGGGGTGCATGTCGTCGTCTATGCTGTATGCTGTCACTGGCTTGCCGCGCCTCTGCGCCAGGTATGCTGTCAACTCGCGCTGATGGGAAGGGAGAGAAGGGCAACGGGGTGGGGATGGGGACAGGAGGGGAGAGAGGAATGGGGGTGAAATAAGAAAAGAGCGCATGTCTTCGTCTAGCGAAGCCCTGGTGAAACGGCAGGCTGGGGGAGGCGAGATGGGATGAAGGAAGGGAAAAATAAGAGCGTGTGTCGCCATTTATCATAACATATGCAATTAATCACAGACTTGAGATACCGCTGTGCCAGGTATACTGTCAGCTCACTCAGTACTCACCTGGTAGAATGACTGGAACTGCTTGGTCTGATCCACCCCCGGGGGCAGCTGCAGGGCGAGAATGGCAGAGTAGGCCCAAATTACCTAGGGGAAGCACCCCAGGGCGTGCAAGCAGGCACGAGCTTTGAGTCAACCCCCATACTCACCTGGTAGAAGGACTGGAACTGCTTGGTCTGGTCCACGCCCGGGGCCAGCTGCAGGGCGAGAATGGCAGAGTAGGCCTGGATGGCCTGGGGGAAGTACCCCAGGGCGTGCAGGCACGAGGCCTCCATGTATCGCAGATCCAAGTCGTTGGCGTCTGCTAGTCTCAGCCCTTTACGAGCTATCTCCATCGCCTCCCTGGGGTGGGGGGAGAATCGGGGGAGAAGGATGGGTGGTGTAATGATCCCATGAGAGAGATGCCTGGGGGAAAGGAAGTACCCCAGGGCGTGCAGTGCAGGCACAAGGCCTCCATGAAGCGCAGATCCAAGTCGTTGGCATCTTTTGTATCACAGAGGTCATGGAAGAGGGGGAGTCTAGTTTTGAGGCGCCTCAAAACTAGAGCACCACCGTCACACTGTTGTTCGCAGTCTTTTGTATCACACTGGCCATGGAAGAGGGGGAGCATGTCGCTCAAGGGATGCTAGTGGCGTCATGTGTTTGTGTTGTGTGTATGTGGCAGTGGCAGTGGCAGTGGCATGTAGCACTCACTCCCTGACCCTCTCACCCACTCACCTATGGTACCCCATGCCGTGCTTGAGATTCGAGTACAGATGGTAACCCAACAGATTCCTGCCAAGGTGCCAACAGACCCAGGGGGGAAGTGGCAGCAGTAATGTTAGCATGTGGAAGCAACTTTTCAACAGTGCTGCGTAGTGTGATGTGCCCTTAACCTCCTCGGACAGACAGTGACCCTCGCTCATGCCAATGGGGCACTCTGTTTGGGGTGAGTGAGAGGCACACGTTGGAACGTGAGGCACCTTTGGTGGGATTCCTCAAGTGCACAGAGCGCAATGCAGAAAGCAAAGCCCGCTGCACAACGCACGCACACCACGCACACCACGGCGCACAGAGCACAACGCACAGAGCTCACACCACACAGCACAGAGCACAGAGCATGATGCACAGGCCAGCACCACACAGCACGCATGCAGGCACACAGCTCTCGCAGACACTGTGATTCCTTCTCGAGCACCTGTCGGTACGTCTCCTCGGCCTCATCTAGGCGAGACTCCTCCTTATCTGCCTGCCCCAGCTGTCTGCCCCTGCACCAGCAGCCCCTTCAAGTGCAGGTCTAGCTTTTTTTTTAGTCGACTCAAATTGCGCTAAGCAAGCACACACGGAGCTCTAGCACGCACTGTGGTTCCTTTTCCAGTGCCTGTCGGTACGTCTCCTCCGCCTCCTCCAGGCGCGATTCCTCCTTGTACGCCTGCCCCAGCTGCACCAGCAGCCCCTTCAAGTGCAGGTCTAGATTTTTTTTAGTCGACTCAAATTGCGCTAAGCAAGCACACACGGAGCTCTAGCACGCACTGTGGTTCCTTTTCCAGTGCCTGTCGGTACGTCTCCTCCGCCTCCTCCAGGCGCGATTCCTCCTTGTACGCCTGCCCCAGCTGCACCAGCAGCCCCTTCAAGTTCGGATCCAGTTGCTTCACCCGGTGCAGCAGCGGTATAGCCGCCGCACACTCTCCCCCGTGCATGTGCGCCTGCGCCTGAAGTGGGGAGGGGCGGAGAGGGGGGAATACAAGCAGGAGGGACGAAGAGAGGGACGGACGGAGGGAAGGAGGGAGGGGGAGACAAAGGGAGGGGAAGAGAGGCGGGAGATAGAGAGAGTGTGAGATGCAAGCAGCCGCAGCATGGCATTCAGCTGCACGAGCAGCCGCTTGAGGTGCGGGGTCCTGCTGCTTCACCCGCTGCAGCATCGCTATGGCTGCCGCACACTCGCCCCCCCCCATGTGCGCCTGCGCCTGGGGGAGTGGGTTGGGTGGAGGGGGGATTGACAGGGGAGGCGGAGGAGGGACGGAAGGCGAGAGGGAGGGAGGGAGGGGTGGAGGGAGGGAGGGAGGGAGGGAGGGAGGGAGGGAGGGAGGGAGGGAGGGAGGGAGGGAGGGAGGGAGGGAGGGAGAGGAAAAAAGAGAAGTTGAAAGTGTCGAGTCAACCTTTCACAGTCAATGGTAACAGAGACAGGGAGCATGCGCAACCATGTGACTGTACTGCAATCACGGAGCAACGCACAGCGCAAGCCACACTTACACACAGCCCCAACCCCAACACATCCCATGGATCAAAGCCCCCAAAACTATAACACCGGGATAGTATTAGCATCATACCAGGAAGAAGAGAGCCTGGGCATTTTTAGGCTCGTGTGTGGTGACTGTTCGCAGGTCGCTGAGGGCCTGGAAGATGAACCGCGCATTGAAGTACGCTATGCCTGGCAAGGGGGTGGGAGGGTGGGGGGGCAGCGAGGGGCAGGGAGGGACGGCCCGACAGGAGAGTATATTTGGGGTGCAGATCAGGCGAAGGTAGATGAGGGCTTGGACATGAGCCGTGCATTGAAGTGCGGTATGCCTGGTGAGGGGGTGGGAGGGTGGGGCAGGCAGCGAGGGGCAGGGAGGGACGGTCAGACAAGACAAAGAAGTGTTTTGAGACGTCTCAAAACACTTTTTCTACAAGAGACTAATCTGTAAGGTGCAGATCATCCGCAGGTCGCTGAGGGCTTGGGAGATGAGCCGTGCATTGGGAGTGTGCTATGCCTGGTAAGGGGGTTGGCACGTGGCGGCAGGCGGGATGGGGATTAGGGTAGGGTAGGGAGGGAGGGGTAGGTGGAGGAGGTATTTGTCGGGATGGGGGGTTTGAGAGGAGCGGCAACCTGCAGACGGGAAGGACAGACGGGATGTGAATGTGGATAGGTGAGAAAGATTCTCGAGTGGATAGATTCCCCCGGCAGTGCACCTCGCTAGCTCTGTGGGTGTGTGGCAACCTGCTGTGGGGTTGATATTGTGAGCGTACCTCGCTCCATATATGCAGGCCAGTCGGTGGGGCGAGCCTCGATCACTGCTGTCAAATCCTTTACTGCCTGATGCATGGGTGTGGTGTGGTGTGGTGTGGTGTGAGGTGGTGTGGTGTGGAGAGACAGACACAGACACAAATACATGCATCGCAACGCATGCACGCAGCTATATGGAAATTACTTTTGAGAACTTTGAAAAGTACTTTCCATATGCAGGTGTGTGTGGAGAGATGGACACAGACACAAACGCTTGCATTGCAACGCATGCACACATCACATGTGCGCGTGCGTGCGTGCATGCATGTGTGCATGAAGGAAATCACGACGAGAATTCAGTGAACATGCAATGGGAACGAGAAGAGGAAGAGGGAAGAAGCGGAAGAGAGGGGAAATGTAGGGGCAGGAGTGAACAGGGAAGAGGACATCAATTGGGAGACAGCAGTAATAGTTTGGCAAGAAAAAGGGCCAACAGCAGAGCAGCAGAGAAGCAGGGGAGCAGGAGAGCAGAGGATTAGAGGAGCAGAGGAGCAGCGGAGCAGAGGAGATGGGTGGCGGGAATTGCCTCATCGTTCCTGCCCATGGCTGTGTACGTCTGTCCACGCCTCCTCCTCGCCTCATAGAAGGCCGGATTGAACTCCAAAGCCTGGCGGAGAGAGATGAAAGCATTGAGGAGAAGGGTGGAGAAGTGGGGAGGGGAGGTGAGGGGAGGCAGGATAAGGGACGGGAGGAGATGAGAGAAAAATATGTGGTGTTGCTAAGAGGTGCTGGTGGTAACGTCTTGATTTTATCGAATTACACTACACCAGAAGTGGTTTTGATGCCAGTGATAAAAAAAACTACGAGACGCAGTCAGGGGGTCAGGCATCAGGTGAGCCAAGCCAAGCACAAGGAGGAGGCGCAACGAATGCAGAAGGCACGAGACATGATGAGGAAGGCACAAGTCAAGCACGGGAAGGCAGGAGGAAGATGCGTGGCACCTTGGTAAAGTCAGCAATGGCTTCCGGGTAGCGGTGCATGAGGGCGTAGACTGTCCCACGGTACGTCAGTGCATGGTCCGTGAATACCTTCTGCTCCAACACCTGTGTGCGTGGGGAGTGTGAGTGTGAGTGAGCGTGTGTGTGTGTGTGTGTTAGTGAGTTTGTGTGCATGTGTGAGGGCATGTGTGCGCATGTGTGAGCATGTGTGAGCATGTGTGTGCACATGTGTGGGTGTATGCATATGTTTGTGTGTGAGCACAGTTGTATGCATTAGAAATGGCGACCACGGTTCAGTAATTGAACTCATATAGATGTTTTATGCAAGTAAGGACAAGGACGGGCGCACACAGACTCACTGACTAACTGACTGACTGACCTTGTCAAAGATTTCAAGAGCCTTGTTATGCTCCCCTTGCATCACCTGTCACACTCGCACGAGAGCACACACGCAACCACACACAACTGATAATCCGCATGCAACGACAGCAGCAGCAGCAACAACGCCAAGAACATGAGAACAAGGGGTCCGAAGAGCACGGCATGGCATGACACAATATGGCATCGCATGGCATTGCATGGATGCCATTGCATGGGTGGAATGGAAGGATTGGCAGGAGCTGGCTTGCATGCGCACAAGCATGGAGGCATGCACGCACCAGTCTGACAGCAGCCGAGAGGAACATGTCTAGAGTCTTCTTCACCTCACTATTAGGAACTTGCCCTTCACCACCACCGCCTCCTCCGTTCCTGCTGCTACTCCTGCTGCTGGTGCCACTAATGCTGGTGCTGCTGCTGCTACTGCTACTGCTACTGCTGGTGCCACTTCTGCTTCTGCTGCTGCTGCTGTGACTGCTCTCTGATTCCCGCCTGCTTCTTTCACTTCTTGATGTTGCTGCCTTGCCATTCTGGTTGTCGCTAGCACTTCTCCTGCTCCTGCTGCTGCCGCCGCTAGCACTGTCCTTGCTTCCACTGCTGCTGCTGTTCTTGCTAATGCCTTTGCTGCTACTATCGCTGCTTTTCCTACTACCATCAGTGGTTGGTCTGCAATTGATTGCAAACGAGACAGAGAGTTAGGGCGGGGGAGGGAGAAAAGAGGGGATGTGACGTTCAGATGCAATACACCATAAACCTTCCAACCGCTGAGCAACGATAACTACACTGCATGGTCCATTGCCACGACACACCATGGCGTGTCATCTTACAAAGCAGTCAATGGAAAAACACTTTTACCCCTCGCCATCCACACCAATCACCAGAGAAACATAAAACAAACAAAACAAACAGGCATCTTTCATTTCCTGTGTGCACAAGCACCCCTCCCCCTCCTTCAAAGCACAACAGCCTTCCTTTCCTAGAACCCTCCTCACGTGGACTCTCCCTTGGAGCGCAGGATCCGGAGCGGAATCATCACACACAGCTGCTGCTTTTGAGGCGCCTAAAAAGGCAACCCTCCCCCTCCTTAAAAGCATAACAGCCTTCCTTTGCCAGAACCCTCCTCACCTGAACTCTCTCTTGGAGCGCAGGGGCTCCACCGGAATCATCACACACAGCTGCTGTTCCTGCAGAGCAGCAACTGGCAGTAGAGAATGTCGAGAGGGACTGGGGAGGCACGGGCAGAAGGGAGCGCCTGGGGGAGACAGAGAAGGGAGGGTCGAGAAGCAAGAACCCAGCCCATTGCCTGCTTGTTCTGGTTCTTCTGACGATTCTTCTGATGCTACCCAGTCTCCTTCCCTGACGCTCTCTCCTCCGGGTTCCCCTTTCTTCTCTCTTCCTTGTTGCACACCTCGCCTTGTTTCTCCTCCTCCTCCTCCTGTTTCTCCACCTGCTTTTCCTCCGGTTCTTTTGCCCCCTCGTCCTCCTTCTCCTCCGTTGCCTCCTTGCCGTGAGTCAAGTGCCAGGTGATGGAGAGTGGAATCTGCAGGTAGGGTGAGAAACACGAGGGATGGTAGCACGGGAGGATTTTTTAGGCGCCTCAAAAACGTTGCCCCCTCGCCGTGCGTCAAGTGACAGGTGATGGAGAGTGGAATCTGCATTGAGGGGGAGAAACAAACACGTGGGATGGTAGCACGGGAGGAGGGGAAGCGTAAAAACAGAGGGGGTGAGGGAGAGAGAGAGGAAAGGATTAGCCTCTCCCCTTCTACCCTCTGCCCTCTGCTTTCTGCCCTCTGCCATGACTACTTAAGGCCACGGCGGCCTCTCCATCTCTCATTCTTTCAGTTAGTGCTGAAAATTTTGGCTTTTGTTCGTTCGAGAGAGCGAGAGAGAGAGAGGATTAGCCTCTCCCCTTCTACCCTCTGCCCTCTGCTTTCTGCCCTCTGCCATGACTACTTAAGGCCACGGCGGCCTCTCCATCTCTCATTCTTTCAGTTAGTGCTGAAAATTTTGGCGCTTCGTTAGGGATGGCAAGGGGAAACGATAAGCAGTAGTAGCTTAGGCAACCGATACAAACAAAGCAAGCATAGACACTTAGCAAGTAGAGGATGGAACGGGTCTACACGCGCAAGGGGGGAGCGCCTACATGCGGTCCGCCTCTACCGCAGCGAGCATTCCGCTCGTGTTCAACCACAACTGGCGGACCACAGACACGGTGGCGCCTACAACGTCAACAGGAGTACCAGGGCCTGCTACAAGCGTCCTCAGAGCCAGGGCCGAGTCAGCCAGCTGGCTGGCCGAGGTTGCTCCCGGCGAGGGCGCTACCTGCAGTGGCGTTACGAGCGCGAATAGCGCTGACGCCGCCGCATGACAATCTGCTCGCGGTTTCTGAGAGAACCTGCTCGGAGGGCTCACCGGCATGGAGTCAAATGACTCCTGGAGAATCCGCTCAAGGCTCTGCAGGGACGCCGCCAGCGACCATAGGCGGGCCAGGGTCGCCGTGGGAACTTCCTTCATCGGCGGAAGCAACGCAGACGCGCGGGCACGGTGAGGCGACACGGCAAGATCACGCGGAGCAGGAAGAGGACGCGGCGGAGCAAACTGAGCCCACGGCGGCCCGCCACCAGCACCTACGAAGCCCATCCCCGCAGGCAGCGGCCGCTCTGAACGCGCCGGGGATCCAAAGGGATCGTGGGGCAGGAGCGCGGAGAGAGGGACGACGGGAGCAGCGCGAGGAGCTGATGGTGACGCCGACCCCGCACGCGAGCGACGAAGCTCCTTCTCCAAGTCATCAAGCCTATCCAGAAGACGGCGCTCCATTGCGGACGGCGCTGGACCCGCTTTTCCGCCGCGACTGTCACCTCCCCGTCGCCCACGACGCGCACGCCCACTTGCGCTCGAGCGCACAGGCGACTGCGGGCGAGATGGCCCCTGCTGACGCTGGCGGCCAGGAAAACGGTCCCCGCGACGAGGGGAGTAGAGCCGTTGGCGCTTTGCAGGAGGGGGCGAACGCGGAGCTGGGGGCCGACGCCCAGACGTCTGGCGGGCAGGCGACCGCTGGCGAGATGAACGATGAGGGGGCGAACGATGACAATGCGAACGGCGGTCACGGGATCGGCTTCGCGACGCCACGCGACGAGGCGAACGAGGAGACAGCGGCGAACGGGCCGCACCGTGACGATCATCGCGGCAGCTCTCCCGCTTATCGTCGCGAGCTGCCGATGAGCGACGGCGAGGCGAACGCTCCTGGTGCGCCACAGCCTCTGCGCCGGAGCGCAAGACGGACCCCGCGCGCAGGGGCTCCGGCGGTGACAAGGACCTGCCCGCGCGCCGAGCCAGCTCGCGCTGCTGGTCCTCGAAGCGGCGGCGGATCTGATCAGCGGACGCCGGTGGAGCAACAGGTACGCTCGCGGCAGGGCGTGCAGGAGGAAGCGGTCGGGGAGCGGGATCGCTCTCCGCGGTGCAGTCGCGGCCCAGAGCGCCGAGGAAATCCATCGGCGAGCGCTCAGGGCGCTCCATTGCCACAAGAGGAGCCGACGACGCCGATCTCCCAGGCGCAACAGGCGGCACCTGTGGCAGCCACTCCGAGGAGCGGACGGGGAAGCACGCGGGGGAGAGGCGGGGGTCGAGGAGCGCGCGGAGGGCAGCGGAGTGCAGGCCAAGCGGCGAGGGGGAATCCGCGCCAACTAACGAGCCCAATCTGGTTGGGGGAGCCGGCGGAACGAGTCACGCGCCAGTCGTTTGCTAGACGCGGGGGGAGAGGGGGAACGACAGCGCAAGCAGTGAGAATCGGTGATACAAACGCAGAAGGGAGCGGCGACGAATATGTACCGTCAGATCTGAGGCAACCCGACAACCCCGACTCACCTCTCGCGGAAGCGGGGGAGGACCAGGCGCAGCAGCAGGATAGAGGTTCTAGACGCCGACAGAACCGCAGACCCCAACCCCCTCCGGACCAAGCCCTGTCAGCGTCCCAGCTGGCATCGAGGGAGGATCTCTTTGAGATCGCGATGAGCTGGGACTCTTCAACCCTAACGTCAACCACCCACCTGCCTATCGTCCGCCGCCTGCCGCCGCAGATACTAAGCGACTACTCCACCTGTATGCTGGCCGCCCTCTTACGGATCTCCAAACTGCCCAACTGCGCGGGAGCGTGGCGGGTCCTCATGTTCCTGCCACGTCTCACCTTACGACTTAGCAGGAGGTCCAGCTCTAAGTGGAAGGTGCTGCGAGAGCAGATGCACCTATTCAGATGTGGCCACTGGAACCAGCTCTACAGTGACTACGTGGGGTCCCTGCACCAAGCTGAGCCACCTCAGCACCAAAACGACCCCCTGGGAATCTGCTCACGTGTGGAGGGGTTGGTGAAACGGGGTAACCTGCGAAAAGCGTTGGCAGCCCTCTCACCCTCGCCAGCGGCCCCTGCGACGATCGCAACATTGCAGCAGTTGGAATTGAAACATCCCCAACCCCAAGTTGAGCTGCCCGACTGGGTCCACACCTACACAACACCCACGCAATTTTCGTGCACCGCGGAAAGTTTCTCAGACGTCCTTGGGGATTGCCCCAGCGGAGTTGGGGCCGGTCCATCCGGGTCAACATTTGAACACTACCGCGACCCAGCCCTAAGCAACATCGAAGTGCTGGGGCACCTACACTCCGCCGTAACACATATTCTCTCCACGAATCTTTCCACCGAGGTTGCAGCACTACTCTCGCCATCCCGCCTCATCGCCTTCGCGAAACCAGGGGGGGGGGGTACGCCCTATCGCAATAGGGGAATCCCTACTCCGGTTGGCAGCAAAGGTGGCACTCTCGGAACTGCAAGGAGAAACAAGGCGATTTTTCTTACCCCAACAATTCGGTGTGGCAGTCCCAGGCGGAGCTGAGTTCGTTATACATGCAGTCAGAGACCTCACCACTTCACAACCTTCCAGCCTAGTCCTCCAACTCGACATTGAAAACGCTTTCAACTCCGTAGAGAGGAAAGCGTTCTTCAACGCACTCACCAACACCCCGCTAGCTCCGCTCATACCTTTCACCCGCTCCTTCTACGCAACGCCTTCTCAGCTGCTGACCGATCCCCGCTTGAGCACGACGGCACTTACCAGCGGAAGGGGGGTGAGGCAGGGGGACCCCCTTGGACCCCTGCTGTTCGCGGCATCAATCCAGCAGCACCTCAGACGCACAGCAGCAGAGCACCCAGAAGTCACGATCCTAGCATACGCAGATGACATCACCATGATCGGACCGGCGACAGCAACGCTCGGCGCGCTTAAGTTGCTGACGCCGCTGCTCGCCCAGGATGGCCTCACCTGCAACCTCAGAAAATTGTCGGCGTGGTCCACGACGCCGCTTGAGGGTGACGAGCTCCCCGAGGGCCTCCCACTCACCCACGAGGGGGTACGGGTGTTGGGAAGTCCCGTGGGGTCACAGCGCTTTTGCTCTGACCTGGTCCGCAGTACTCTGACAGACGCAGCGGCACCCCTGGGCTCCCTAGCATCCATCCATCCACAGCATGCCCTCCTGCTCCTGTCCCGCTGCATCAGCCGCAGAATCGGCTACTTGCTGCGCACCACCCCAGCGGATGTCCTTCCCCTCTCGGAATGGCACGCGTGGTGCGCCGAACTGCTCAACACCGCCCTGACTGCCGCCAGCATCCAATCCAACCACCCCGCCGCGAAGCCGAGTTCAATTTTCTCATCCGCCAAGCAACCCTCCCAGTGGCCCTAGGTGGACTGGGCCTCACGGATCCCACAACAGAAGCAGCACCAGCCTACCTGGCCTCAACGACAGAGGCACTACGCCTGCTCCGCTCACTCCACCTGCCAGCAACCGCGGCGCTAGGGAGCAACAGCAACGCCCTGCAGCCGTCTGCGGCACACTCGGTCACCATCCAAGACATGGAGGGACGACTGCCGCCGCTGGCGCTGCAATACCTCCGTGAGGAGCAAGAAACCCCGTCCCAAGACCAGCTGCAGCGGGCCCTCTCTCAGGAAGTGCACGCGGCAAAGGCCGACACCCTGACAGAGGAATCACGCTCAATCAGGTCAGCCCCCGAGATGGGCCACACGCTCCGCCTCGTCAGCCTGAGAGGCGAGGGAGCGGGAGCATGGCTGCAAGCCCTACCCCTGACCCCAGACCTCTCCTTCTCACCAGGGCAATTCCGAACAGCCCTGGCCTTCCGCATGGGCATCCGACAGAACGTACCTACTGTGTGCGAGTGTGGAGAGCTCGTGGCCGACTGCAGCCTACCCAACCACCTACTCCGCTGCAGCACAGGCCCGGACAGAACGCGCACACACAATCAGCTGGCCTTTGCCGTGGCAAAAATGGCGAGGGAGGCGCAGCTGGTGGTATACCTGGAGAATGCAATGTACTCACCACCGGATGACCCGAAGAAGGCCGATGTGATCGTGCGTGACCCAGACAGTGGAGAGACCTGGATCACAGACACGACTATCACCGACCCTGTGCTGCAGAACCGGGACCCCACAGCCCGCAAACCCCCAGGCTGGGCTGCAAGGGAGGCTCGGAAGCGGAAGGAAAGGGATTACTACCGGCACACAGAACACGTGGTGTTCTGCGCCCTGGCCGTCGAGACCTATGGGGCAAACGCGCCCCCCACGACGGCGTTCCTGAAGCTGCTGGCCACAGCAGCAGCTAGGAACCGGTTCAGGGCCAACCCCCTGGCGAAATCGGCCAAGAAGATGGCCTGCCACTTCAGCCAGCGCTGGTCAGTGGCCCTCCAGCGCTCCCAGGCGAATGCCCTGCACACCAAGGCTAGGGCGGGGATTGAGGCAGCGCACCCCCAGATGGCAGCGGACCCATGGCCGCTGCACCTAGGGGACATCCTCCACACGCTGGAGGGTTAGAGGGGCATTAAGGGGGGGGGGGGAGGGTCAGAGGGATGGGTTGATGGGTCGGAAGGTATAAGGGAACCACGAGTCAAATTGCATGTCTGTACCCCCTGCTGAATTAATACAAAGGACCATTTGAGAGGAAAGGGAGAGAGTGAAAAGGAAAAAAGGGGGATGAGTGAGCGAGCGAGAGAGGGCTGCGGAGGATACGATACGATCATGCCATTGGCACAATGTGTGGAGCATCGCGGGTGGGGTGGGGTTATAGGAGGGGTTGGGGTGGGGAGGGGGTTTTGGGAGAGAGTGCAATTTGCACATAGCTTTTTGCATCAGGGAGGGACAATGAACGCACTTGGGAGGAACAAAGCACGGAACCCGCTTTAACGGAACGCACCTGGTGCGAGGAGGAGAATACGAGGGCAAGAGTTGGAGAGGTGGGCAAGCGAAGGAGTCATGCCACTGTTCCTGTGCGACTGGCCCATGCCACTGCAAGGTCTGAAGCATGATGCTCTGTGAGGGGAGCTGATGGGACAAATTCCCCCATGACGTACCATTACATGCCATGACAAGCCATGCCATACCATGACATGCCAGGACATGCCATATCATGCCATTCCATGCCATGACATGGCATACCATGCCATGCCCACAAGTCAGTTGTGTAATGACACATGGCATTTGTTCCCATGCCCACTCCTCTCCTCTCGTCTCGTCTGCGAAACTCTCTCTCAGTCCCGGTCGTGCTGTCCCGGGTAATTGTGTTTCACTAAGAGCAACGGAGCTATGAAATGCAGTACAATGCTGGCTAGCAGCAGCACGAGTACGACGGAGCAGCAATAACACGAGTAACATCAACAAAACTCAAAGCAAGACCATAGCCAAATCAAGAGTCTAAGCAAGACCATACGCGTCGACTAAATAGCCGAAGCAAGACTGGAGGCAAATCAAGACAATACGGAATCAAGCAGCTGCTCGAGGGACGCTCGGGAATTGGAGTCATGCGCTTAAGAGTGGACCCACGGACCAGAAGCGAGATTCTGGTGCTGTCTCGGCGATCCCTATAGAAGCGGAATGCACGGCGGATACAGCCCAATCACGCAAAGCGCGACCGCATGCGATCCTGTTCACGCCGTCTCCCTTGCGCACTGGCGACCGTTTCCCGTGTAACATTTCGCCATTCGCGGGTTTTTCATCGCGGTCGTCCCCTAGTGTAAAATCGACAGGTTCGAAGTTCGCATTTGGTTCCCATGGTGTCGGAACGGCGAAACGACCGTCCTTCTGCCACGTGGCACTAAAGACGTGGCAAGATGAGAGATTTAACGCGAGGCACGCGAGAGCGACAGCAGCGGGCAGAGCCATGCCATACGCGGACTTGGCGGGCGATGCTCGACGGTCAACCAGCAGCAGGACACAGCATATCAAATGATGATCAGATGTGATGGCGATAGATGAAGGGTTGGAAACCTTTACTGTGTCCTGAAAATATGTCCGTATGCGATTTTATGGTGTTTGGAGAGCGGTGTATATGAAATATGATATGTTTTGGTAGGGTACTTTGCGAGATCGGGGACGGCAAACACACTGCGCTGATACATGGGTTTTCAGCTTAGCGGGGACAGGTATCTGGACCCTTCCGCTTTCAGGGTACGGACAGCGCAAACTGCGCACAGTTTCCGCAAAAGTCTGGGCTAGGGGGGGAGGGTTATTGTTCAGGTTAGGGAGTCGAGCTCTCAATGAGCCACGTGGTTAGTCCTACACAGCTTTCTCACTGTACATCTACAATCTCAGATTCTGCACTGCGCTTGTTTGTCTTTTCTACCGAATCCATGCTAGCTCGTCAGCCCACTGTTCCCAAAGCTGTGTGGCCGTTGTTGTTTTTTTTTTCTCGTCCAAATTACATTGCACCCGAAACCCTGAGAATATGTGCACCCTTCCTGACCGAAACAAAATAAACCCAATCGGGAAGGGGTGCGACTCGGGAGGCATCAACCCTAACAAGAAAGAGGGGTCCAGTGTTTAGGGTTGATTCCTCCCTAAAATGCGTCCGAGGGAGGCATCAACCCTAAACACCATGCCATAAGGTGTTTAGGGTTGATGCCTCGCTGACCGGATGCCTTACCGACTGGGGTTTATTTTTTTTGCTCACGTGTCCGTTGGGATATTTTGCGTGTAATATATTGAGTAGAAACGACAAACCAGAGCAATGGAGAATCTGTGATTTGAACACCTACAGTGAGCTCTCTGTGAGAACTGGGAAACGTGGCTCATTGAGAGCTCGAGCCCCTAATCTGAACAATAACTCTCCCCCCCTAGCCCAGACTTTAGCGGAAACTGTGCGCAGAAAGCGCTACCCCTAACCTGAAAGCGGAGGGGTCGGGATACCCCTCCCTGCTAAGCTGAAAACCCCTGATACATGAACTGAGAGTCAAAACTACTGCAATGCGTTTCGTTACAATACGTGGAACACTTATACGCATGGTGAGAAAAGTTCAAAGGGGTTCTAAGTGAACCAGGTTCGACTAGCCCGCCCTTGAAGTGGGGGAGCGCTAATTTGGATATCAGAAAGATGCTATCCATTGTTCCGAGTGTGATGTGGTACATAGCTACGTTACTAGGTAGTTGTATGTTCTCTTGGGTCTAAGATTGTACACCACGCTCGTGTCAAGATTGATTGGTGTCAGGCGCCGACATAAGGTGGAGTCGCGTGCAGTCTGCTGTCCATGTTAGGTACATCAGGCAAAATTCCCGCGATTTCCAGCCCATCCAATCGCGAAGCCGCGCAACCCAGCACTGTTGCGATCAGAAGTTGATCGTAGCCAGGATCACCTCGGGAAGGTTCGCACACTACTGACTTAGTGGTGGTGGGCCCTTGACCTCAATAGCAGAGTGAATGTGAAATGCTTGAGATGTTAAAACATGCAACTACAGGAAATATAAATATGAGTACAGGAAATTCGAATCGTCCTAGCTAGCCATGTACTCTAAGGGGTACATTCTCTTATTCAAATTCATCCCCAACCGTGCGGCACGTACAGTTACGAAATTGTTCCCGCCAAATCCCTCTTCCCTGTAGCTGCCCGCTGCCGTCTGCTCCGACGGTCCAGATCCTCTCTAACCGTCTGCGTCGCTTCGGGTCAACTCTGACTCCTCGCATTCATTCTCGATACTGCGTACTTCTCTTAGCTGCGGTCAGGAGTGCATAATAATACTTTACTATTTGTAACAAGCAACACGATCGACGCTTAGTCGTCGTCAGCAAGTCATCCTCACAAGGCGTGCTGAGTCCTATGTATAACTGGCCCGTGCCCGCAAACCAGCTGCATGTGTATACCAACCAATACTGCCCGGGTTTATGAGTAACTTACTATTGATAAAATGAACGCAATGACCACCTTGGTCGCATATTACATCGGCTTGTAGAACGGGCTTGAGCTGTCCGCCACGCAATACATGCACGCCGCGAGATACCCCATAGCATCTCAAAAAGCTTGATGCGTTCCCAGTATAAAACGATCATTCAAGCAACGTCATTCGCGCACAGAAAAAGGGACCTTATTACCTTAATGTTGCCGCATTATTCTTAGTGATGAAACAGTAGCTAGAACGAAGGAGCCATAGCTAGGGTTTAGCAAGCTAGGCAAGAGAGAATAGGCAAAAGAGGGTTTGACTAGAAAGGAGGGAGGTGCAAATAGCAAGCCGTAAAAGGGTTATACTCACTATTGAGTAGCCCACTACAGACTGACAAGCATTATATTCTGACATTTAGACGTGTTGCGACACTGGCATGCACACTATACATAGGCTTTTATGGTGACAGTTTGCGAAGATTGGCTTACGCTGCAAGGGCGTACGGAACCACACATCACAACATCGGATAGCGAAGCAGCTCGTCGAGCAGAGGATGTCAGATTTATATGACATAGCTACTGTAGGCTATAGTGGGGTAGCACATATGGGGTACAGTTTTCTAGGGTTTACATTTGTACCCAACTTTCCCTTAGTCAATTCATTCTCGTTCAGTTTCTCATGGTATCGAGCAGGTTCCCCTGTGGGAACTGTTCCTAGGGCCCACCACCTTTTTTTTCCTGCCCGGAGCGCGCTCTACACTGCCCGAGTCGCGCTCCCCTCTCTCGACCCTGTCGCGCCGCCTTAGCGGCCCCGTCGCGTCGCGCCTGCGGCCCCGTCGCGTCGCCCTCGCGGCCCCTGCACGTCGCGCCGCCCTAGCGGCCGCGTCGCGCCGCCCTCGCGGCCCCGATCCGCCGCCCTCGCGGCTCCTTCGTGTCGCGCCGCCTCGCGGCCCTTTCACGCCGCCCTCGCGGCCTCTTCAAGCCGCCCTCGCGACCCCCCCCCCCCTCCTAGCCGTCCTCGCGGCCCCGTCGCCTACCCCTGCGGCCCCGGCGCCGCCCTTCCCTGCCTCGGCGCCGCCTCTGCTGGCCCCGTCGCCTACCCCTGCGGCCCCGGAGCTGCCCTTCCCGGCCCCGGAGCTGCGCTTCCTGGCCCCGACGCCGCTCCACCCGGCCCCGACGCCGCTCCACCCGGCCCCGACGCCGCTCCACCCAGCCCTGCCGCCGCTCCACCCGGCCCCGCCGCCGTCCCCACGCGGCCCCGCCGTCACCACCGAGCCGCCGAGGCCGCCGAGCTACTGCCGAGCCGCCCGATCCACCAGAGCCGCCCGAGCCGCCGCGCCACCTGAGCCGCCCGAGCCGCCGGGTCGCCGAGCCGCCGAGCTGCAGTTGCTACCGAGCCGCCGTACCGCCGAGCCGCCCGAGCCGCCGAGTTGCCGAGCCGCAGTTGCTGCCGAGCCGCCGTACCGCCGAGCCGCCCGAGCCGCCCGAGCCGCCCGAGCCGCCGAGTTGCCGACCCGCCGAGCCGCTCGAGCCGCCCTGTCCGGTAAGAGCAGCGCCTCTGTCACTGCACTGCCCTTACCCTACTGTTCGCGCTGCTAGTCTACTGCTGTCATGGCTACCCCTAGTGTCCTCGCTTTTGACGCTGAGGGTCGGGCCATTGACTTTGACGTCTGGGTAGATGACCTGCAGCTTTTCCTACAGTGCGATAGGGCAGACGGTCTCTCCCTCTTTGACCTCACCTCTGGTGCCTCTCCTGCCCCTGCTGCTGATGCCGACGCCACTGTTCGCTCACAGTGGGCCACACGCGATGCTGCTGCACGTCTTGCTGTGCGTCGCCACCTGCCTACCTCTGAGCGTGCGCACTTTAGCCAGTACAAGAGTGCTCACACCTTGTACGACGCTGTAGTTGCGCGCTACTCCTCCCCTGCCACTGCTGCACTGAGCCGCCTCATGCTACCGTACCTCTTCCCTGACCTTGCTGCCTTTCCCACAGTCGCTGACCTCATTACGCACCTCCGCACTAGTGACACTCGCTACCGCGCTGCGCATCCTGCTGAATTCTGCGCCAAGAACCCCCCCCCCATGTACATCACCCTCTACTACATAGTCACCCGGCTCCCTGACTCCCTTCGCGTAGTCAGGGACCACTTCCTCTCAGTTTGCCCCACCACTCTC